CCTGCTCCAAAGGGGGTATCTGCCCTGGCCATGCACAGGCTCCTCAGCCCAGACTGCCCTACCCTGAACGGGCCATCCCACACACAAATGAGCTCCTCCTCCTGGGGCAATTCCGGAGGCATCTGCCAGCCCCAGCTTGAGACCTGGCAGCCTCACCACCCCATGTCATGGCCTGTGTAATGTCTGTATTGCTCTGCCACCTGCAGCTGAACATCTCCCTCCTCCAGCCTCTTCAGACCAGCCCTGAGCTGAGGATGGCAGGAGCCTGGGAGGCACAGAGTGACCATGGGGCACATGGTGACATTTGGTGTTGAAGCCACTGCCTGGGAGTCAGGGCGGGCTTCACACTGGATGGGGAGGGCTGGGTGCTGACCGTGTCCACGCTCCCCGCTGTGAGTTCAATAGCATTGGCCTTGATGGCATCTAGTGACAAGTCTGCGTGCAACAGCAGTTCTGCCACGATGCCGCTGTAGTGCTCAGGGCTATTGACCTTCAGCTCCTGATAGATTTTCTGGATGCAATTGCTGGCTGTTGGAGGAAGGGGAGACAGTCCCCAGCCTTAGTGCTGTAAAGCGCCTCTTCTCTGTCCTCATCCTACGCACCCAGCCCCCAACATCCCCAAGTTCCCAAAGGACTTCTATCCCAAGATCTGGGGATCAGCCCAGCCCAGCCCCAGCTTCCTGCCAAATTTGTCGGTCAGGACCATGAGGAAGCCATAGCCTTTGCATGTGGCCTCAGTTCTCCCCTGTGCTGTGGACAAGGAGAAATTGGGTGACCATTGTGTCCCTGCCACACAGCACCACCGGATCGCTGGCCCTCACCATACTGGAAGATGTAGTCCCAGGCCTCAAAGTGCTCCTTCCACACCTTGCTGCAAGTCCAGCGGGACAGGCTCCTGGGCATGAACATGAGCTGTACGGTGGATCTGAGCATGGCCCTCAGGGCGTGGATGAAGTTCAGGCTGGCAGAGCTTGGATTATGGCCAAAGAGGTCCAACCGCTCTCCAAAAAGAGCTAAGTTGCCGGCTGCAGGGAAATGGCATAGCTGAGCCACAGGCAGTCCCGGGCCTCACGGCTGCCTCCTGCCAGCCCTCCCTGCCCCATTCCAGGCCTACTCCAGAGACACTGAGGCCGGGACCTTCTCACATGACCCCACACCTTCTACAGTGTAGTAGAAGATACTGGGCTGGATGTCCAGGGTCAGGCTCCTCCGGGCATTCTGTAGCACCTTCTTCTTCAGGGCCATTGAGAAGTCCCTTGCCACCACATCCAGCATGGGGATGTACTTCTGGACGGCTTGTGGTGACAGCACATCTGGGTTCACCCGCAGTCGGTCGGAGCGCCATTCCGGCCCATTCCTATAGAGCACAGCTTGAGAGGCAGCCCGAGCAAGCAGCTGGCCCCAAACCTGTACCCCACCTTCCTCGTCCACAAGGGGAATGTTCCCTGGGGGGCGGTCTCTTCTGCAAGGGGGGAGGTTGACCCTCCTGTGAAGCTTTGCCCACTTCACCCACACCTGCCCCAGACGGGGAGGCCCTGGCTGGCCTCTCATCTCCCTGCCCTTCCTTTTCTGATCTTCTGCCCCGTGTCAGCCACACCTGCCTGTCTCTGTGACGTGTCCCCATCTCCTGTAGGGCAGGGACCAACCGTCGAGAGCACATCGGGCCACGTGGATGTGCTCCAGTGAATGGAGGGCAGGGATTTCCACCCTCAGCCACTTTATGCAAAAATCCCTTCTTTATCTATGGCTAGCGCGCCCAGAGCACATGGAGCTCCCTGGATGTGCTCCAGTGAATGATGGGCAGGGATTGACACCCTTGGCTGCATTCATGCAGAACCAGCTTTCTTCTGCTGCAGCTAGCTGCCTCCAGGCATGGACGATGATCACAGGCTCATGCACCCGTGTGCACCCACGCACGACCTCAAGACACATTCCAGAGCACACTGGCGTCTCCAAGGATGCTGTTACATGAATGGTGAGGAGGAATTTTCACTCTTGGCCACTTTAATGCAAAAATCCCTCTTGGTCTCTGGCTAGTGCCTGGCAAATATTGACAATGACCACAGGCATATGCACATGTGCAGATGTGTCCCGTCTCAGGTACAGGAAGCACACAAGCTTGCAACACATGCATGTGAACATGTAAAATGCAAATGCACACACATTCACAGAAATATACATGCACACACATACAAACACAAGCACCTGCTCACACGTACAAATGCATACACATTGATACAGGCACACACAGGTACATCCAACTTGCACACTTGCCTGTACAGGCACACATGAGCACATGCACACACACATGCACAGACCCCCATACGCACACACAGACACACACACACAAGCCTGCCCCTCCCTTACGTATGCGCACTCACTGTCTCCTGGGACTGCCCTTCCTGGGTCCTGAGTTCCTCTGGTTTCACTCAGATGAGGGGCCACCCCCAAGTGCTCACCTCTCTCAACCTCTCTGTTCCGAAGAGAATTCGCTTCCTGACGGGAGGTGGGGCAGCCGGGAACACTCTGACCTTCCTCCTTTCGCCTTCCTCCCGCCCTAATTTCCACCTTTTTGCAGATGATGGACTCCAGGTCCCATCTTCTGCCTGCCTTCCTGACCAGGTGTGCCACGCTTTCCACGGGGGATGAAACGTGCCCCAGGGCAACCACCCTACTTTGGCTTCCGTTCTGAGAGCAAAAGAGTCCGCGACCACCTTGATCTCCATGGCACTTGTCCCCAGGACTGTATCCCCCAAAGCGAGGGACTGCCTTGGCTCCAGAAGCCAAGGGCACTCTGGGGGTGGGGTGCAGCCCTGGGGATGTCAGGCGCTGGCGCACGCTGACCTGGACCTCTGCCAGTGACTCCCCTTCTCAGAGCCTCAGTTTCCTCCCCTGCAGGAAGGAGAGCCACCACCCTACAGAGGGAGCACCTGCCAGGCCTGTGCAGGCCGGCCGCCCCCTCACTGCAAGTGCTCATTGTTCATCTGTCATCTGAGAAGGTGCCCCTGCATTTCTCTACCTCGGTCCTGCTGCCCCCGGCCATGGGGCACACATGGCCCCCATGGCAAGGCACTCATCGGGTGCTGGTGGTCACCTGTCTTCACCCCAATAGGCCCCAGGGCGGCTGTGCTTTGGGGTCTCCTCTGTCTCCCCACCCTCCTTCCTCCTCATGCAGACTCGCCCCTCACAGCAAGAACACGCCACATGTGTGCCCATGATGCTGTCTGTAGGCCAGCCATGGTTCCGGAACATTCCGGCGAGGGTGCAGGCCTTCCACCTGCTGCAGCCTCTCCACGTCCTCCGGCAGCTTCACGACCACCCTTCGTGTTCCTCCCATGTCATCTCTGTGGATAAAGCACAGAGCCCTGCTGAGTGAAGTCCCATCCTGACCTGAGCCCCACTCTGCAAAACCAACCCCACTGTCTCCTATTTGAGCTCTCCCCTCTCCTGGACTGTGGCTTTACAGCAGGACGTCCCTCCTGCTGTCCTCTGAAACTTCTCCAACTTTAGTGCCTCTGAGCTCTGTCCTCTCAGCAGTGAGCCACGAAGAGTCTTTGTCTCCACCAGCAGAGGCACAGACCAGCAACCACCATGCTCCCTCCCTGCCTTCCTAGGGTGTAGAGCACAGGCACCCACTGGGAATAGGCAGCTCTGTGTGCCTGGCAAGGGCTGGGCAACCGCAGGGCCTGAAGATTCTGGGCATTCTCAGCCAGGGGCCAGGGAGGGCTTTACCTGAAAATGGGCCCCAGCTCCTGGAAGGTCTGATGCGTCTCCAGGTGAAAGTTCTCACGGCCGCGCTCCTTCCAGATCTGCAGCAGCCTCAGATACTTGTTGCCAGGATGCTGGGGAATGGCTTCAAAGGGCCGCACTGCCTTGGGTGCCAGAGCGGCTCTGCTGCCCAGTGTCCGTGCCCTGTGCAGGCAGAGCCAGGGGCCAGTCATCCTCACATCCACCTTTGCCCTGAAGGCCATCCCGATCCTCCCTCCACCCCCACTCAGCCCAAATCCTTTTATCCTGTTGGGGGACCTACACTGGCAGACTGATCACGTCATGGGAGAAAGTGTCCCTGGAGCTGCCAGAGAAACCTGGGGCAGGGGTCAGGGCTGGAGTCCCTCAGCCGGAGGTGGAGGAAGGAGATGGTCCGGTGCCTGGTGCCCATCTCTGCAGGAGCTGCTGAGAGGAGGGTGCTGAGAGCAGCTGCCAGGTCAGGATTGGGGGCTGAATGGGGTGGAGGGTGCAGGGCAGAGGCCTGTCCCTCCTCCCCTGGGTGAGAGGATTAAGATGGATGGGCCTTATCTTATCAAGAGATGAGATGGGGCCTTGGATTCTATTAATAGAGCTCTTTTTTTAATAGAAGTTTTAGTTCACTGCAAAATTTGGCAAAAAGTACAGAGAATACCCATATATCCCTTGCACCCACACATGCACAAACTCTGCCACTCTCAACATCCTGCCCACAGGGTTAATTTGTTGCAAATGATTAACCTCCATTGACATGTTATTACCACTCAAAGTCCTTAGTTTATGTAGAATTTCTTCTTGGTTGCGTCCATTCTGTGGGTTTTGACTAATGTAGAGTGGCATGTATCCATCATTACAGTATCAAACAGAATAGACTCACTGCCTTAGTAATCGTCTGCACTCTGCCTGGTCCTCCCTTCCTTCCTTCAGCCCCTGGCAACCAGTGACTTTTTACTGTCTCCGTAGTTTACCTTTTCCAGAATGTCAGATAGTAAGTAGCCTTTTCAGAACGGCTCCTTTCACTTAGTAATGCACATTTAATTTTCCTGTATGTATTTTCGTGGTTGATCTTTTTTTTTTTTTTTACAGTACAGCAGTCTTGATCTCTTATTTTTTTATACCCATTATGCCATGAATTCTTAGGGACTAGCTTCCAGCAGCTCAGGCTCCTGGCTATTGGTTGTCACAAAGTGTGCTTCTCTGAGCAGAGCAGGTTGGCGCTTTAGTGGAACCCAGGTTCCTTTCTCTTTGGCTTCCTTCTTCTTCTGATCGTTTTCCTTCATGTGTTTCAGGAAGCTGTCTCAGCTCTTAGCGTGCTTAATATGCTCAACACGCACGTGAATGCTCCTGGCAGGAATCTTGCCCTGAACTTGTCTACATCAGTGCCAGAAGCGTGCCAGCAGCCTGCCAGGTGACACTGTACACTCTTCCAGTTCTATCACAGTAACATTTTTGGTACATTCCTTTTTGAACAGTTCCCATTTCCTCAATGTCTACATCACCTTTCCTGCAGATTCGCATGTGTGTGGCCAAAGGTATAACTCCACGTGTCCTAGAAGACCTAGAGAACAGTTGCCTCTCCTCTTTCCCTTTGTGTTCATCATTTTGGCAAATTACTGGAAGATGGTGGTTCCAGCCGAAAGGCACTTATTTCTTTTTAGCACTAAATAATATTCCATTTTCTGGACGTACCACATTTTATTATTCATTCATGTGCTGAAGGACATTGCTATGGGTCAAATGTGTCCCTCAAAAGTTCATGTGTCGGAAACCTGATCCCATTTTAACAATGGTAAGAGGGTGAGGGATCCAATGATGGTATTCAGAAGAAGGGGCCTTTGAGAGGTGCTTGGGTCGTGAGGACTGTAATGGATTAATCCATTCATGGAGTAATGGGTTGATGGTCATAATGAGGAATCCTGGGTGTGGACTGGTGGCTTTTTAAGAACACATGGGAAAGCTCTTGCTCATGCTATTTTCTTACCATGTGATACCTTGGTTGTCACAAGATCCTACAGAGAGTTCCTGCCCAGAAGAAGGCCTTCCCCAGGTGCACCCCCTGAACCATGGACTTCCCAGCCTCCAGAACTGTAAGAAATAAATTCCATTTCTTTACAAATTACCCCTTCAGGTATTCTGTTATAAGCAATAGAATCAGACTAATACAGACATCTTGGTTTCTTTCAAGTTTGGAAACTTATGAATAAAGCTGCTATAAACATCTGTGTGCAGGCTTTTGTTTGGATATTAGTTTTCAACTCATTTGCATAAATACCGAGAGGTAAAATTGCTGGATTGTGTGGTAAGTGTGTATCTATTTTGTCTCTCAAAGCGGCCTGTACCCTTTTGCATTCCTACCAACAGCGACAGCTCCTCTTGTTCCACATCTACACCAACACTTGGTGTTGTTGGTATTTTGAATTTTTGTCATTCTAATGTATATGTAATGATATCTCATTGGTATTATAATTTAAAGGTCTCTAATGATATATGATGTTGAACATCATCTCATAGATTACTTGCCATCTGTATATCATTTTTGGTGAGGTGTCTGTTCAGACCTTTTGCCCATTTTTTAACTGGGTGTTCATTTTCTTATTGTTGAGTTTTTAAAGTTCTTTGGATATTTTGACCACCAGTCCTTTATCAGATATGCCTTTTCCAAATATTTTCTCCCAGTCTGTGATTTGTCTTCTCATTTTCTTGATGGTGTCTCTTGCAGAGCAGAAGTTTTTAATTTTCATGAGAGTGCGCCACTTGGGAGTGCAGCGGCACTCCCGCCGAGGGTTCGGATCCCATGTGGAGACCGGTTCCCACTCACTGGCTGAGCGAGGAGTGGGCACAACACCGAGGGTTGCGATACCGTTGCCGGTCAGTAAAAAAGACAAAAAGGAAAAAATAAAAAGTCATTATCATACCCATGGTCATCTAGATTTACTACTATGTTATCTTCTGGGAGTTCATAGTTCTGTGTATCATATTTAAGTCTATGATCCAGTTCCAGTTAATTTTTTTGAAGGGTGTAAAGTCTGTGTCTTGATTGATTTTTTTTTTTTTTTTTTTGGCATGGGGATGTCTAGTTGTTCCAGCACATTTGTTGAAAAGACTGTCTTTTCTTCATTATATTACCTCTGCTCCTTTGTCAAAGATCAGTTGGCTATACTTGTGTGGTGCTGAAAGCTCTCTTTTCTGTTCTATTGATCTATTAGTCTATTCTTTCACCACTGCCACACTGTCCTGATTATATTAAGTCTTGAAGTTGACTAATGTCAGTTTTCTGACTTTGTTCTTACCTTTTCATATTGTGTTTGCTATTCTGGGTCTTTTGCCTCTCCTTATAAATTTTAGAATCAGTTTGTTGATATCCCAAAAATAAATTCCTAAGATTTTAATTGTTATTCCTTTGAGTCTATAGATCAAGTTAGGAAAAAATGACATGTTGACAATATTGACTATTCCCATTCATGAACATGGAATATCTCTCAATTTATTTTGTTATTCTTTAATTCATTTCATCAGAGTTTTGTAGTTTTCCTAACATAGATCCTGTGCATACAGTCATGCACCACAAAATGATGCTTTAGTTAATGATGGACTACCTATATGATGGTGGCCTCATAAGATTATAATACTGGGTCACCAAGATGGCAGACTAGATGATCGCAGCATCACTCCCATCACAGTAGATCAACCACAACTATTAAAACATAAAAACTGTCATCTTTTAATCACTGGAACTTGGCATTGAAAGCTGACCCCAATCAGACCCAGCCACAGCCATCCCCCAGGCCAGCATGGCACATGGCATGGAATAGCTACCTAGAGACAGCAAAGCCACAACAGCACCTTTTGCATGAAACTGCTTGGAGTCTGCAGGGGGGGAAGGGTGCCATGACTGCTGGCAAAACACACACACACACACACTTTAGAGTGCACCATCCCATTTCCCAGGTCAGCAAAGCCAGTACCCACATAGGAAAGAGGGGCTGGGGAGGAAGGCCAATGGGAGGAAGGATTCACCCGAGGTCAATGAGTCTTCATAGGGGACTTGTGTGGGGCCACCCCACAGGAAATGTTTGCAGTGCTGGTGGGGAGGGGCTGATCCATGAAGGCTGCATCAGGAAGCAGCATAGACAGATGTTCTGCCTTCCAGTAGGCACAGGTGTTACACAGTAGAAACCAGTCAGTGCAATAGAACTGCAAGGGGTGCAGTTTGTGGGAAAGACTGTCCTGGGCCAGAGTTTCCACACAGCCCAGTTGCATCTGTGATGACCCCACATGAGCTGGAAGTAACTAAAAGGCCAACAATTAAAATCCAGTCCACAAAAAAAATTTTCCCCAGTCTGAGAAGCAACAGTAAGGGAGCAATTTAGCTCTGGCACAGAGTCCAAGTTCTAGTCTCTGCAGGAAGTTTCCCCCAATCTTGGAATTAACCACAGGACTGCAAATTAGTTCCAGGGCAGTGCTTAAGGGCTGGTGGCTGCTATTAATCCATTGCAGAATGGAAAAAAGAAAAAGATAAACACAGACCAGAGACAAAGTTCTGATATTAAGCAGTAAAGGTCTAACATCACCAAAGAACACCTATAAAACCTGGAAGAGGTATCCATCTCCTCAAATACACAGGCATCAATGTAAAGACACCAAAATTGAGAAAGAACAGAGAAATATGACACCACCAAATGAAACCAACAAAGGGCCAGCAATGGACTCAGAAGAACAGTGGATTTATGAAACATCTGACGGAGAATTTAGGATAATCCTCCTAAAGATGTTCAGGAAGTTACAAGAAAATACAGATAGAAAATTAAATGATAGTTGGAAAACAAGTAGCAGAACAAAAAAAACTTGAAAAAGAAATGTAATCCATTTTTTAAAATCAAATAGAAATTCTAGAAACAAAGAATGTATTATCTGAACTGAAAAGTTTGATAGGGGGCTGGCCCGGTGGTGCACTGGATAGTGTGCCGCTTGGGAAGCGCGGCGGCGCTCCCGCCCGAGGGTTCGGATCCCACATACAGACCGGTTCCCGCTCACTGGCTGAGCGAGGCGCCGGTCCCTGGTCTGGTATGGGGGCAACACTGAGGGTTGCGATCCATTGCCGGACACTGAAAAAGACAAAAAAGACAAAAAAAAAAAAAGAAAAGAAAAGTTTGATAGGAAGCTCCAACAGAAGAATTGATCAGAAGAAGGAACAGTGAGCTCAAAGCTGGAACATATGAAATTATCC